AGTCAATTAAAATGTAATTTTAAAATATTCCATTTATAAGCAGTAAAAAGTACATGTACCTAGGAATAATTCCAACAAAAAAAATTTTAAGACCTTTATGGAGAAATTTTAAAAATCAATGAAGGATATAGAAGAAGCCCTAAAGAAAAGGAAAGACATATCACATTTATGAGTAGGAAGGTACAATATTCTGAAAATAAAGTTTCCCCAGATTTAGTCTATGAATTCAGCACAATCCTTATCAAATTCCCAGCAGGGACTTTGAAGGAACTCAATGAGCTGATAATAAAAACTATAGGAAGAGTAAACTGCTAAGAAAAATCAAGGTAATTTTGAAGACTAATATGGAAGAGAATTATTTTTAAAATATAGTAATTTTAAAAGTGCTATTTTGTTGCAGAGATAGACAAATACGTTAATGGAATAGGGCAGAATCTTCAAATATTCCTTTGCACATAGTGAAACTTGGTAGGCACAGCATCACAAACCAGTGGGGAAAGGATGTACTTTTCAATAAGTGGTGCTAGACAAACTAGCTATCCACTTGAAAAAAGAAAAAAAAAAAAAAATCAGATTCCTCCCTTAAACCATACTGCCCCCTAAAAAAAATCAAGTTGATTTAAAAGCTTCACATTAAAAGTAAAACATTAAAACTTCTTTAAAAAATGAAAGAAAGTGTGTTTATTATCTCATAGTAGGGAAATTCTTAAGATACACACACACACAAACATAATAGCAAACTGACAAATTTAACTTCACTGAAATTTAAAACTCATTTTTAAAAAGGCCAAAGTAGAATGTCTTCTAAAGTATCAAAAATTACTCCTGAAGTCTTATAACTTTATTCAAAATATTTTATAGCTTTTAAACAGTTTCTATCACTCAGTCATGTTACAGTCTTTGATGGAAAGAAAATAAGCAAACGCCAAAAATATTTAATTTTCTGTGTAAAAGAAGCATCATAAAAATGTGAAATAGCAAGTCACAGACTGTGAAAATATTTGCAACGCATATAACTGACAAAGCATTAGTAATCAGGATATATAAAGATCACCTACAAATGAATAAGACAAAAGAAAATAGTAGAAAATGTTCAGTGGAGACATATAGGCAATTCACCAAAGATTAATTGTTTACCAAAAATTTGTTCACCAGCAAAACGGTAAATGATAAATGGTAGCTATTGGTTTTTTTCAAAACCAAGATACCATCAACTGTAAGACAGTAAAGAAAAAATTTTTAAATGCTGCCAATTATAATTTTAAGACGTCACCAAATGTAAGGCACAACCCTACTTCAGAAGTCCCAAAAAGTGAAAAAATCTGTATCTTAGAACCAATGAGATATGTATCATTATTAGCTGTTTAGAAATGTTTATTAAAGGCATGCTATTATCTCTAGTTCAATGTTAGGAACTATTAGGGATATAAAGATATTACTCATAGTCCCTGACCTTGGAGGGATTTAAAATCCAGTTGTAAAGAGAAAACAAGCATATGAAAAATTAAATAATGATATGATTTAACTAATGGCATGAAAGAGAACACGCAGAATATATCACGAAAGCATATAAGCATGGCTAATGTTTAATTTCTAAGAAGTAACTCTTCCTACCTTAAAAAAAAAAAACTTTAATTTTTGCATTTAATCAAAAAAGTGAGAATCATGGAGTATTTGCCTTCAAATGCCATAAGCTTTTGTGGCTTTTTATTTTTGTTTAATATTTAAAATTAATGTTGAACATCAGAAATCCCCTTCAAGAATTGCTAGATTCTTACTAATTACAGATAATGTCATATGTATCTCTACCTCAACACACAATATATACGAGTAAGGAAGAGAGGTAACAAAGTGCAAGACTTTAGTTCAGAACATTTCAAGTAAATGGCTTCAGTGGTTCACATTCTATTTTCACTTTTCCTGTATTCTCTCACAAACTGATTAGTAGACGTGATTGACAAAAAAAAAAAAAAATTTCCTACAAAGGAGGAAGCTACTCTATGTAGCATTCACCATTGTCATGGTTTACAATAAACAGAAACTTCAACATCTAGCAAGAATATTAAAAAGTGAAAACTGCATCATCAAAATTTTATTGGGAAATATGGGTGAGGGCATGTAAACTTCTTTGCAGTCAGTAAAAACTAAACTTTATTTTTACGACCACTGCTAAGAACACACTGCTTGGGGTTAAGACTTAAAATAGCTAAGTTACTTCTCAGAAGAAAATAGAGTTCCATATCCCAGGAACAGTGAGACTATAAGCCATAAGATGCAATTTTTAACAGACTCAGTTAAAAAGTATATTTATTTGGAAGTACACAGTCCTTATTACTCTGACAGATTTACTTTGTGTTCTACCTTTCAAAAAAGAAATCTGTGTTTTAAATTAAGTAGTTATGCATGGCTAGAATTTAAATTCTTCTTCCAAGTGCCAAAGTGAATAAGAGAAAGCATGACCACTGTGCTCCTCTAAATAATCATCTAAATGAAACCAAATGGTAAACATTTACCCTAGACCAAATATGAGAAGGTAAGGGGGAACAGGGAAGCTAGATTAGTGGAAACAGAACAACCAGAATAGAAATAATGAGAATGTTGACACATTGTGAAAAATGTAACCAATGTCAATGAACAATATGTACAGAAATTGTTAATAAGAACCTAATATGCCGTGTAAACTTTCACCAAAAACACAATAAAATATTTAAAAACAAGAGTCAGAGATCAGTACTAAAGAGAAAGTTATTACACTAGGTATCAAATAATTCGAGGGATTTTTCTTATTCCTATGTAGGAATACTCTACCAACTGTAGGAGAGTCAAAAAGAAATAAGAATTGGTCCCCTTGCATAAAAGGCAAGAGATTAACTCAAATATCTGTACAGTAAAATATAAGCAGTACTATAATAAAGTTACAAGCAAAATGCGGGGATATACACCACTTCTGCTGTTGATATATTAGTAAGCTTTATACAAGAGTTGGCATTTAAGCAGGTCTTGAAGAATGGGTAGGATTTCAACAAGTGGAGTTGAAAGAAAAAAAGAAAAAAACATTGTAGGCCAACGGAAAAGCATAAAGAAAGAAAGCCAAGGCAAGGACGAGAAGGCAGGAGGGGACAGGAAAGCTGATAATGGGGACCCAAGGTCAAGAAGGGGAGAGTGTTGCTGTGTCGTGGGGTTGGCAACCAATGTCAATATGTGTATTAATCATTTAATGAGAAACTAGTTTGCTCTGTAAACTTTCATCTAAAGTACAATAATATATATATATTTATATATATATATAAAAGAAAGCAAGCCATGGAATGCTTAGGGAATTGTGGGAAGTCCCGTCAATGTGTGCAAATTAGGATGCCGCTAATGGGGGAGCTAGAGGGAAGATGATAAACAACAAGATCGGCAAGTGTCTTCAAACCCATGCTGAAGGGCTGGCGTTCGGAAGAGAATTTCAGGCTATCCAAGTTTGAGTGATCAAGGCTGTGCCTTAGGAAGATTAACTGGACAAAATATGAAGAATGAACTGGAGGACAAAGAGGTGGGAGGTGAGACCAGTTAGGAAGATATTGCAATTACCTCAAAAAGAGGTACTGGAAAGGAAGCGTTCAGATGTGAAAGACCTTGTGAGGGAGGAAATGATGGACTTAAATGCCAATCACATGCGTGGGGTGAATCTGATGTATGCAACCTGGATAACCCAGGGGACAGGCATAAAGAATATATAATCAGTAATACAGGAGCAATTGGAACTCTGACACTGAACTGTATGTTACTAAGGGGAAAGGAAAGGAAGTATTAAATTCTGGAGTACACAGATTTCATTGTTTGGGCAGGAAGTTAGAATAAAAAACCATTCAAGATGTTTTCTAGCTCTATTTTGCTTGAACTTCCCATAGAATAGCTGTTTCTAAACTGCTTTTGACCTTATACCATTGGCTTACTTACCTATTCAACAAATATTTAATGAGTACTTACTATATGCCAGAGTCCCTGGGTGGTGCAAAAGGTTAATGTGCTCAGCTGCTAACCGAGAGGTTGGAGGTTTGAGTCTACCCAGAGGTACCTCAGAAGAAAGGCTTGGTGATCCGCTTCCGAAAAACCAGCCATTAAAGCAGTTCTACTCTGACACACATAGGGTTTATGTGAGCCTCAGAATCAATTCAATGGCAACTGGGTGGTTACTATATGCCAGGCACTGTACTATACAATTGGCACATATCAGTGAACCAAACAGAAAAAAAATCCTTGCCTTCATGGATCTTACATTTTAGTGAAAAGAGACAAACAATAAATGATATGCATAGCAAATCAGTCAAGTATATGGTGTGTCAGAAGTAAAAAATAAAAAAATGCTATGAGAGAAAAGCAGTAGACTAAGAAAGATGAGCGTAGTGACAGTGGGGGAGGGGCGGCGGTAGTCTAGATTGCGAGATGCCACAAGTCATAGACTTTGAACCATAGTGCAGTTTGATCTAAGGATGCCATTGAGAACAGTCTCACGACATTTTTCAGTGTCCTCTGAGTGAAAGCACATGAGAGAGCAGTTAGGTTTCTATACAACTCCTGACTTTCGGATGCCATGAATCGCCTAACCGATCACATTTCCCCCTTGGCACTAATGGTCTGAAAGCTCAAAGCCAAATGTGTGGCCCTCCTCCAAAAAGTACATGGGTCTTCAAGGCATTTCTGTGTACCTGCTTCTATCTTATTTTCTAAACATTTATTTTCCTACTGCCCTGATCTCTCCTCTTACTTTTATCTTTTTGCATCATTTTTACAAGCTAAAATCCAATTTAGAACTCTCGAAGTATAAATAAATAAGAAAAAATAAACTGTTAATTTTTTTTACAGTTTGATATCTTTTTTGACACCAAAACGAATTGCTTTAAATTAAGGTCAAACCTGCTAAAATAATACATTTAAATAGTTACCTTATGTGTAATCCTTGAGAGGTTAAGTATTTGCTTTCAGTACTTGTCACAGGGACTTTGGGTACTTACATAAAATTCACACAGCCTGTGCCAGCGGGTGGAGCGATCCAGACGAAGCTGAGGTTTGTTGTGGGCAGGTGACTCACATGAGAGGCCACCACACTGCACATAAACTGGTTACCGAACTGGTGGTCAGACATGATGCCTGAGGGACAGAAAGGAAGGGAAGTTGTTATAAAGACCATAGAACAAAATCTTCCTTCTCATGGCATCACAATATTTTCTGGATGTTTTTCTAAGTTAAGATTCATTATGCTATTTGGCTTTCCCATAAGTTATGTAATTTTCCACTCTCTATTGCTAGAAGGAAAGTCATAATTTAAAACATTGTTAAGGAGTGATCCATTAAATTCATTGCTATAGTATTTGCTTTCTTGATTTTGTTGATGCCTACCACCAAAGACCACCAGGAACATACCTGCAATCGAACAAGGTTGGGTTTATTGGAACCATTTGCAACAAGGAAGACCAAACACCATGGGGAACTGGGAGGCATCACAGTAAGAGAAGGACAGGAGGGGCTTGTTAAAATTCTTGGGCTTGTGTTAGGTTATCTTGGGGGAGTCAGGCGATCAGGTTTGCCCACGAATTTCCTGGTTTTAGTACTGAACGTTCCGAGTCCTGGGAACTCCCTCAGTGCTGTTGTGAGGGCTCAGGTAAGGGTGGTTCTGCTTCTAGATTGGGTGTTGTTGGCAAATGAGGACAATTCTATGTCTAGGTATCCTTTTTTGTTGTTATTGTTGCTGTTTTTAGGTGCTGTTGAGTTGGCTCCAACTCATAGCAACCCTATGTACAACAGAAACACTGCCTGGTCCTCGGCCATCCTCAAAATCATTGCTAGATTGAGCCCATTGTTGCTGCCACTGTATAAATCCATCTCCTTGAGGGTCTCCCTCTTTTTCACTGACCCTCTACTTTACCAAGCATGATGTCCTTCTCCAGGGACTGGTCCCTCCTGATAACACGTCCAAAGTACGTGAGACTAAGTCTCACCATCCTCATTTCTAAGGAACACTCTGACTGTACTTCTTCCAAGACAGATTTGTTCATTCTTCTGGCAGTCCATGGTATATTCAGTATTCTTCACCAGCACCATAATTCAAAGGCATCAATTCTTCAGTTTTATTCACTGTCCAGCTTTCACATGCATATGAGGTGACTGAAAATACCATGGCTTGAATCAGGCACACCTTAGTCCTCAAAGTGACATCTTTGCTTTTTAACACTATAAAGAAGTCTTTTGCAGATTTGCCCAGTGCAATACGTCTTTTGATTTCTTGACTGCTGCCTCCATGGGTATTGACTGTGGATCCAAGAAAAATGAAATCCTTGACAACTTCAATCTTTCTCCATTTATCAAGATGTTGCATATTGGTCCAGTTTTGAGGATTTTTGTTTCCTTTATGTTGAGGTGTAATCCATACTGAAGGCTGTGGTCTTTGATCTTCGTCAGTAAATGCTTCAAGTCCTCTTCACTTTCAGCAAGCAAGGTTGTGTCATCTGCATATCGCAGTTTGTTAATGAGTCTTCTTCCAATCCTGATGCCGCATTCTTCTTCATATAGTCCAGCTTCTCAGATTATATGCTCAGTATACAGGTTGAGGTAAAAAAAAAAAAACCAAACCCATCGCTGTCAAGTCGATTCTGACTCATAGTGACCCTACAAGACAGAGGCGAACTGCCCCATAGGGTTTCCAAGGAGCGCCTGGTGGATTCGAACTGTCGACCTTTTGGTTAGCAGCCGTAGCTCTTAACCTGTACACCACCAGGGTTTCCACAGGTATGGTGAAATGATACAACCCTGATGCACACCTTTCCTGATTTTAAATCACACAGCATCCCCTTGTTCTGTTCGAACAACTGCCTCTTGGTCTATGTACAGGTTCCTCAAGAGCACAATTAAGTGTTCTGGCATTCCCATTCTTCACAATGATATTCACAGTTTCTTATGATCCACACAGTCAAAATTTTATTTTCTGCATTTTATTTATTTTGTTTTCATTGTTGAGAATATACACAGCAAAACATACAGCAATTCAACAGTTTCTACATGTACAATTTAGTGACACTGATTACATTCTTTGAGTTGTGCAACTATTCTCACCCTTCTTTTCTGAGTTGTTCCTCCCTCATTAGCATAACTCACTGTTCCCTAAAGCTCCTATCTAATCTTTCAAGTTGTTGTCAATTTGATCCCATGCAGATAGTTCTTAAGAGGGTATAATGCTCCAGGCAGTATATCTGGGTATCTTAATTATTTTTTCCTAGGAGCAATGAGGAACAGAAATTGGAAAAGCAGCAGCAGTCCTTCAAGTCAGCCTGAAGAGGGGAATACTGGTTGTTTTCGTGGTTTGCATCATGGTCTTGTTTTTTTGTCTGTGTTCAGACATGATGACAGCATGGTCTTGTTTTTGTCTCCTATCATCACAGTCACAGAGTAGCCCTGTCTGATGTTGATGTTTTGTGAAATTCTTTATGTTCAACATGAGAGCACCGTGGCCTAGCTGTGAGTGTCAGGCCAGCTCCCAGATAAACTACCAGGAGAGGCTTTTTTTCTTGTTGTTAAATCAGGTAATTCCCTTAGGTTTACCTCAAACATAAAATACTAATAAAAATATTGTCAGTGGTGGGCATTTAAATAAAAAATTATCTCATTTACTGGCTTTGTGGTCTTGGACAAATGACTTACTCTCTTTGAGATTCAGTTTCTTTGTCTATAAAATGGAAATACTATGTTACCTACATCTTAAAGTTGCTGAGAGAATTAAATGACCCAATACATTTGACAGCACCTGGTATAGTATCTAGGAGCAATGGGTTCTCAATAAATATCAATTCTCTTCCTGCCTATCAGGAAAATATGATTCTATTCAATCTATTTCTTTCTAAAAATCCTTAATGACCCCCCACCATCTACAGCTGCACTGTCCAATATAGTAGCCACTGGCCAATGTAATTATTTAAAATTAGATATAAATTAAAATTTAAGTTCTTCAGTTGACTTAGCCACATTTCAAGTGCTCGGTAGCCACATGTAACTCCTGGCTGCCATATTGGCCAACACAGAATAGAACATTCCCATCATTGCAGAATGCTCTGTTAGGCAGCACTGATTCACAGAATAAAATTAAGGCTGTTTGAATCTGTTTCCCATCTCTCTGTCCGGTCTCAGCGTCAGCATTTTCTGCTCGCATATCCTGCCCATCCCCTTGCAATTTACATACCCAAAATACCAAATGTATTTTCCTTCTCCACCTTTGCACAAGCTATACCCTCTAGGGTGAAAGCTCTCTCTTCCTAACTGACCTCAGCCATTTGGCAAATCCTCCCTCAAGGTTCAGCTCATTTTCTGCTTTGTAGAGCTTCTCCTACTACCTCCAAGCAAACCCAGGCAGTTCCCCTTGTAGGTCCCCACTGACCCTTTTACATAACTTCAGTACCGCTCTTATCCCAAGGTGTATGTAATGTTCTTTTTACTTATGTTTCTCTACTCTACATTTTAAGTTCCTTAAAAGCAAAAATTGAGTCTCTTAATTTATATTTCTCTAGCACCTGCATAGTATAGTCAAATCTATTGCTCATTTTTCTTAATATTTTTGGCTTTTTGTCTCAGTTTTAAACATGCCTTCTCAATCTCCAAGTTTTTAAAAATATTCTCCTATATTTTCTTTTTACTATTTAATTTTTTACATTTACATCTTTAATGTATCTGAATTTTTTTTGACATGTGGTACTAGGTAAGGATTTAACTTTAATCTTTTTTTTCCTAAATGGTTATTGGTTAATGGTTACAGGTTTCACCTGGAATGTCATGATGGGCTCATCATAGGTTTCTCTGCCCCCTCCCCCCACTGAATCAAAATGATCTTTCTAAAAAGCATATATGATTATGTAAATCCCCTGCTAAAATCCCTTCAATGGCTTCCCATCAGATTCCAGAGAAATATTAACTCCTACTCATTCTTCACCTCTGCTGGGTTAACTCCTACATGCTCTTCAAGGCATAGCTCAATGTAGCCTCTGTCTGAAACCATTGAAGTGAGTTATTTACTGTGCTGAATATAATGATACAAAGATAAATAAGACATGGCCCCAGCCCTTAAAGAACTCCCTCCCCACTCACTGCCCCTGTCCCCACGTCTGGATAGGTATACTTCCTATATGTTATCATAGCAGGTCATAACATTCCTCCATCACAGCACTTGACCATCTCCCCAGTGAGCCCATGGGAGTAGGTCTTTAATTTTTGTATCTTAAGCACTTAGCTCAGTGCCTGGCACACTTGTATTTATTCCAACAATAATAAAGGTATTCTGAATAAATACAAGAATAACTTAATTATAAAAGCAAAATAGAAAGTGTAATACACAGGTTAATTTAACTAGTGATATAGAATCTTCCAGAACAGAAAGTTGTCTAAAACAAGTCTTATTGGTCAAAGAAATAGAAAACAACTCTATGTTTTGACATAGCCTAATGAGGCTTTTTCTCATTCAAGTTTTTATTTTTTAAGCTGCATCTTGAGACAAAAGTCATCAAGCCAGAAAAACCACAAAATTAGGGAGGATAAGAGATTCCCAGGGAAAACACACAGTGCTGAAGGAGACTCAACAGCCGTGACTCAAGAACTGCCACTCCCTCCGGTCAAGCATAAAGCAGGGATCCAGTGTGGAAAATGACACATATGCAGGAGTCACCCTGGCCAAAATGGAAAACAACAGTTCCAGCCACACTCTGTGGGAAGGGAAATGAATCCAACAGAAAGGGCTTCAGAGCCTTGGTAACGGGATTCATGCTCGAATATCTCCCATTCCTCAAATCACTTCTTAGAAAGTGAGTCAATGTCTCAGCTGCATATTATTTGGTAGTTACATCGTCATAACTACCTCATGTCCTACTCTGGGCATGCCTTAGAACATCATTCTTGCAAGCCAACAGGCTACCCCAGTAGTTCTCCAATTTGGCTGCACAGAGGCATCACCTGAAGAGATTTTAAAACATACTGGCTCCCAGGGATTCTGAGTTAATTGCTCTGGGGTATTAAAATTTTTAAAAGCTTGCCGGGGAATTCTAATGTGTAGCCAAAAAACTGCATTAAAAATGTGTCTTAGTAGAACATCCAGAACTCAGTGTTTACAGTAATAC